AATTGAACACTAAAAATAACTATAATAGGACTCTGTTGTGATTTTTGCTTTCTATTGGAGACAGAATGCTCAAAACATAATAGAATAACGGTATGAACATTAAAAGCAACTGCATTCACTATGTCCTCCATTGTTCGATTACAATTTGTGTCGTCCGCTTAAAAGTTTTATCCTTCTATTTTTTGAAAATTATTATTAATCTTATCAAATGTGTAATTTGTTGATGCTCGTTTTCTTTTAGGAGTGATGCTATATTGGTGGAAGAAGAATGGTTTGTGGTATTATTTTTATGGGGTCGGGTCATTTTCAGTGTCCGTGTAGAAGCATGCAGAACTCTTGCATCCAACCAAATGGGTCAAGAGATAAGCCGTGGTTCAGAAATTTCAAAGGTATTTTGGGTTTTGTCAAATATAAATCCTGTAGACGGAGCATCTGTATGAGTTTGGTTTTCTGGAGAGTGGAGACTGCCTCTCGACTTTGCTTTCGAATTTTAGTTTCTCGTCGATATGTATTCATATAGATTATATTGAATTTTGTGGTGGTTTTGAGTGAAGTGATTGAGGTATAAACCATATTGTTTTTGAGTGGTCAAGTTGTGTAGACAATCATTTCTGTCCAAGTTATTATTCATTTTCTATTTGCGCATGCTTTTGAGGTTATAAATTATAATCATATCATGGCTGGAATCGAGTTATGGGGAATGAGTGTTGTTAGAGAAGACAAATGAAGTGTTATGAGTAGAGCATTGGTTTCTTGTTTCTTAATTATTATGTTTAATCCTGAGTATGAAGTCTCATCTTTAATTTGAAAAATACATAGAAAGTTTAAACAGACATACATGTATAAAAAGAAACCTGGGAGAGTAGAGAAATATCATACAGGAACAGAAAATGTTAGGAAATTTGTTGAAGATGTAAGTGATGGGTCCAAATCAATTCCTGACAAATAAATCTAATCTGCTTTGTGGAAGGAATATAATTAGAATCCAATGCTCAGATTGTCTCATCACACACAATTTCATCCTTTGACTATCTCATATGTGTCAAATAGTTGCTTGTGCAAGTAACTAATAAGATTGTTTTACCGTTTAATTTACAGAATTGTACTAAAAAAATATAAATGGTTTGGGTAAATATAGAGAGAAATGACTGTGTTATCCAACTGTAAAGAAGTCAAAGATGAGCAAGCACACAGTTCTCCCATTATCAAATTATTATAATTATTGACCCAAATAATATAGTTTTGCATAAATAAATATAATACAAAAATTGACCTAATAATAACGGGATGGATTAATGTAGCATGATGATCCAACCATAAAATTGGGTTGCCTTATTTTTCTTCTCTTGTGGTGAAAACAGAAGAGCTATAAAACCCCCCGGTCCCCTACTCTACTTAATATATATATATATATATATATATATATATATAAAATATATAATCCCCCTCCCTCCCCTTTTTTCCTATCATTCATGTTCAAATACCTACTCCTCTCATCAACAACAATAATACATCAATTCACACACACACACACACACACACACTAAAAAAACACATGGAGAGAAAAGATGAAAAAGAGGTGAGTTTTTCCAGGCTCAAGTTTCCACTTTTACCCCTACCGGCAGACACCGTGCATTACTCGCCTGAACACCTATCAGGAACGGCAACACCGCCGCTCCATACCCTAGCCTCTGTGCCGTTCAAATGGGAGGAACAGCCCGGAAAACCCAGACCCTGCACCGACATCATCGCCCTACCCGAACCCACCGCCATTAAATGCTTGGACCTCCCTCCATGCAGGACCAAACTTCCCAAACTGCCCTCCCCTACCGCAGTTCTTGATGGCCCTTATAATCTCGCCCGCCCCAAGTTTTCTTCATTCAGATTTTTTAGAGAGGCCCGTGCTGCTTCTTTCGACAGCAGCAGCAGCGGCGGCGGCGGAGGCAGTCCTCTGAGCTCAGTGGATGTGTTGATTGGGAAGAAGAGTAGTACTACTAATGGAGGCCTGACCAAAACCAGAAGGTTGTTTAATTTCCCAAGCAGTACATTGAGATCATGCAATAAGAGTGGTGCTGATGGGGGTAGTTTGGGATTTTCACCCTCATCCGGCGATGAGAGATGCAAGACGACGACGATGAGGAGAAATGGGAGTTTTTCCAGTCTCGCTCAAGCTGCGCCTACTCATCATCATCTCTGGGTAATTCCGTAATATCATCCATCCATCCTTCTCTTTTATTTGCTCCCGTAATTATATCATTATATTATGCTAATTAAACTCTAGTAGAGTAGATCCCACTCAAGCCTATTTTCCAGGAAGCCTAAACCATTTCTAGGGTTAATTAGCTCCCCATTATGGCATCATACCGGGTAATATATATGGGATAAAATAATATATAAAGGATTATTTGTTGCAAATATTTATTTTGATTACTACTCCGATCCGTATTAATTCTTGTTTAACTTTCTCTCTAATTCTTCGTACTTTATCTTTTTAGTGCTAATATTGTAAATTGCTACCAAAATTGAAGACAGCTCAGTATTATTGACTATTGAGACAAACCGACTTAATTAATCATCTAATTAATAATTGTGTGGCTAAAATAAAAACCTTAGAGATTAGGGCAAATGGAAAATTAAATAGTGACGGCAGAGTTGAGGAGGGGCAATCACTTTAATGAGGAAAGCTTCCCCTTTCAGCACAAGTAAATAATTTTGTCCCCAAATGGGACCCAATTTTTTATTTTATCAAGGAGTAGGTAGAATTCTGTACACAGCTTTTATATGTTTTTTTGTCAATAAAGCAGAAAAGTGTGATTGATCTACAAGAAAATAGAATTTTTTTTTTTTTAATTTTTGTTTTTCAGGGAAGTATATATGAGAGTTTAAAGCAAGCTGTGGCATGGAAAAGCACAAGAAAATCAAAGAAAGAAAGGATACGTATGAAGGAGTACGAAATTATATATAAAGTATAGTATAAACATGCTCTTAGCTTCCTCTAATCTAATATAAAGCAGCTTCAGCATTTTATATAGTAATACATATTTTATTCTTGCATGAATCAGAAAGAAATTGTAAGATTTGTATGAGTGGTAGTCAAATTTTGATTGGACAAGCTGCTCATTTGTAAGAAATTATTGATGTATACTTGAGACAGTTTATATGTTAAGAAGTTGACCATATAATAAATGTTTAATACAATGGTAAAACAAGTAATATAAAATAGAAGATGATATTAAATCAATGAACCCCAAAAGTTGCAAATGATACAGCAAGAAGAGATACAATTTAAAAGTGATTATTCCTCAAAAAAGAAGATACATGTTCTCACACAATTTATTTCGACAATAGAAAACGCCATCCGTTCCGATTATCAACTGTGTTTCTTCCCGGTCACACCAGCAACCACCTGCAAATACAAGAAGAGAGTGCATTAATTCAATGGTATAAAGAGATTACGTAGAAACCTACGAGAAGATTTCTGCCGACACTAGAATAAGCTAGAGTCCCATGTGCAGGCAGCATCACCATACTTGATATCCTAGCAATTAATCTATTGACTTTCGAAACATTTTTTTTCTTTAACTCATATCACAAAACCAACATTTTAGGTGCAAGACAACTTGGTACCCCTATAAACTCATCACATCCCCTTCTCCATAACCACCCGAAAACTAGGACCACAACCTCCACACCAACCAATCACCTTAATCTTCTTTGCTTAATAGACAGAGATTACATCTCGAGGGTTCAGATCAGCCAAAATCATGGCTAATCTTACCAAACAAACGAGGACAAGAAGTATTCAACTCAATAGCAGAACAAGACAACAAGCCCTTCTCATGTGTATAAAGAGGGTAAACACATTTACCCGATGGACTCACCAAAATACGAAAAAACGCGGGAAAATCAAATTTATCCCAAGGCAAAGGTAAACATAATATCCAATAAGAACTATTTATGAAATAACAAGAGCAAGAGTACGTCGAAAAGATGCCAAGACCAAACTAGGATAACATGGTACCTAACAAACCAAACACTTACATCGCT